GGGGGGGGGGGGGGGGGGAAGGTGAGAGCGGGAGGGTGCAAGGCTCCGAAGCGGGATGGGCGAGCAAATGGGATGGGCGATGGGCGATGTGAGGGTGGCGTGCGATTGGGCGGGAGGCGGGCTGGAGTTGGGCGCGGGACACTTGGCGCGGCGGGGTAGGGCGCGGCGAAGCGGAGAGAAGACCCGGGGCATGCCGCAGCGGTTTATGAGCACCGCACAAGGCAGGCGATGGAGGGTCGTGCGTCCGCAGGAGCACATGCTCACCCGCACACGCCATACACGTGCACACGTGCGCACTCTGGCGGCTTATCCTCGAAACGCTGCGTGCGCGACGTGACGCCATGGAGAGGCACATGTGTACAGCGATGACACGTGTGAAGGGAGAGGTGGCCTTCTCGCCTACTCTTTCCACAACGGTAACAGCTACCCTACAGATCTCAACGTACTCTACCGCGTATGGAAAGTATTCTACGTATCGTATTCGGTGGGGATTTGTAGACGTTGTAGATATGATGCCGATTTCACCCGCCTGTTGCCCCCAAAATGCACCTGATCGCCCCCCTAAACGCAACATTATCTCAAAGAACAACGTAATGAGGTTTATTGTGAGCTAATGATACCGTCGCTACTCGAAGACTACGCAGCACCATTCCCGCGCGACACACGCGCTCCGAAAACCGAAACCCTACGTCCAATTAGATACGGCGCACGGCCCTAACGACGAAGCTGACGCAGTTCCTAAGCGGCTTCTTCCTGTTGGTGCGCTTGTTATCAATGACAACGGTCCTGTTGCCCCTGCCCCTGATGACCTGATACTCATTCACCGGAAGCGCGACGCACCTATTGTTGAGGAAGCGGTCTTGGTTCTGCTGCGGCGTCTCATGCCCGATGCCGGAGGAGTTGCCGCGGCCCATGTCGAGCGCGAACGTCTTGAAGAAGTGGGGCGAGTAGTTCTGCTTGAGCCCGCGCGGCGAGATCTTGGACACGGGCACGTACGACTTGCGCGTGCGCACGAGCGCCTCGCCCGAGTTGACGATGCCCACGCGCCGCCCGCGCAGGCAGATCGCCGACGTCTGCGCCTTGTCGAACGGCTTGCCGAGCGACACGCGCGACGGCCGGCAGAGGGTGAACCGGCACGCCTTCGCGCACTGCCTGTAGCGGCGCGGCATGGCCACGGCGGCCTGCACGAGGAGCAGCGCGAGGAGGCAGAGGGTGAAAGTTCTCATCGTGGGATGGTGCGGGGGGGGGGGGGGGGGGGGGGGAAAAGGGGGGGGGGGGGAAGGTAAAAAAGGTGGGGTTTGGGAGGGCGGAGGGGCGGAAGGTAGGTGTAGTTACCGAGATTGGTTTATATAGGCCGCGGATGAGGGAGAAAATGGAAGCAAGGAGCGCTTAGCGTAGATCGGGGACGCGTGGTGGGCGGGGGAATTCGATGTTTGGGGGCTTTGCAACGGTGGGGGGGAGAGATGTGTCGGGAGAGTCCGGGGTCGTACCACGTAGCCAGCTGGTAGGTACAGTAGCAAGCGAAGCAGGCGCAAGGTGTAAACGAGTGACAGCCGTTGTAAACAAAGCGATCCCTGCACGCTGGAGGGGGGGCTGAGGCCGGGCGCGATGGGAAGCGAAGCAGAACCATCGCTGAAGGGTTTTCGCCGCCGGCTTCCGTCACGGCTGCAGCAGGAGATCCGGGTAACGATAGGACGAGAAATGTTGCTAGGTTAGTAACGCCCGCCGGAGATGCGGGACAGGTACGACAAAAAGCGCCACGTACTGTCGCGAGAGCGGCATACTGCGCTGTACTTCTTCGCGACATACGGAAACCGCTCCAGCGTTTATTTTTAATTCACTTTCTTCCCAAATTCGTGCATTCCCTATCCGTCTCCTTCTTGATCCTCGAAGCGCAAGACACAACGAGAGCAGCCTCCCCGCCCGACCGCCACACAAATTCATTCGTCACATTCGCCGCCTCGAAAAAACTCTTCGCTCCCCTGGCCTCCCGCCGGCCGCACGTGGGCACGACCTGAATTGACACTGGTTTCTAAACTTTTACTGCTTGTCTATTAACGGACTGCCCTGCGGTAACGGCGGAGGTGCGTCTGCACTCTTCTTTCTTTTGTTGAAAAATAGTAAACTGCAACACAGCATGTTATACAATTTTCATCACGCAGACCTGATCCCTCTTGAGAGTGCCGATTTCAGCACATGTGCATACCGTGATGATAATGTACAAACTGAACATCGCTTTTACACATACAGTACCGTACTGTACAATATGTATGTGGTACTATACATACAGTGTGTACTGTGTATGGACTCTTGCACATAAATATGTAGTCAACAAGCTGCCCGCACATATTTACAGATGTAGCGCGTGAGTTGATTTTGTACAGTTTATGAATACTGAACATATGCAGTACACATCTATGTGCATGAGCAAACATATGTTACATACACACAACAGCACAAATATCGTTCATATGGAACCCATGTATTTCATATGTATGTCTACAAGAGCAATTGGGCTTGGATGTTGCTTCAGTACGTGTTCACTTGTCGTCAAGCGGCACACGCACTACAATACAGTATACAGTGCAGTACAGTACTACGCATAGCAGCACGCTAAAATGGCGTAGCAGCCTACCTACCCTTGCATGAAGGCCACGAAGGAAGTATGGATGTAATGCAGCACGCGGACTGGGCAAGTCCTCGTTACTTGTTACAAGTATATGGCTCGCCGACGTGGACTATCCGAGGCATGCCAGGCGAAGAAGGCGGTTTGGTCACCTTCCTCAGAAAAGCAGTTTTGCCACCCTTTTCGCAGCCCAGTCATGACACCGCACCATCAACTCAGGCCCTCCTATCGAGGAGGGTACAGGACGGTATGGGTCCTGAAGCGGTAGTCTTGACCAGACACTCGGAATGCGATGACAGATTGCAACAGCTTGTTTGGCGTTGTACTAAGGGTACACTACCCTTCGAAGGGTACCTAAGGTACGCTTCATAAATCGTACGCGGTGATGGACCACAAAGTTTATCCACGCATTACTGTGGCATTTACTGCCGGTCACCAGTCATCCGCGTCGAGCACAGTCCGTGATTCACACATTTATGGCTGCGCGCGCAGTGGATGCAAGCAGCGATGCTCGTGACCAAGACTAACTTTTAACAGCAACCTCCAAACGTGATCATTTCTCATTGCATGTGACAAACCCGTCCTCAACTTTGCAGCCCCGTCCTCAACTTTGCAGCCTTCGTTTGGCCCCATCTAACGGCGTTTCCTTCTGTAACGCTTTGCTTCTCGCCCGTACTTACAGTGTGTTCATTGTACTTCTTACCAGACTTGGCCGTGCGTGCCCACATGAAAGCACTTCATCACAGAGTAACTTTATCATGTTGATGTTTATTTTATCTAACTTTCAGGGGGAGCCGATGGTATAGGTACCACAGGATGGGCTTTAGAGAATCACATTTGGGTGGGACATGAGGGTAAAGCTTTATCTTTAGACAATTTTTGTTACGTACCACTTTTATTTTGAAATTTTTGTTACGCCTAACCCCAGATCTGGGGCTTCGCAAATCTTAGCGTAGTACACAACTTGACCACAAGCAGAGCAACGCGACTTTCGTTGAAGAGCTGCGACCCCCTGTTTCCGCCGTTTCTTCGGTCGACCTGCCTGACTCGGAACTCTCCACGCGCTCACCTGTCTGGCAATAGGCAGAATCTGCAAATCCACGTTAATGTTTACTTGAGAGGCAAGGGCAGCAGCAACAACATACTGGCGTTCAAGTGTTGCATGATGAAAAACAGTCGATGCCCACTTTGTGTCCAGATGATTCCAGTGTGCAGCCTCTGGGACGTTCGTATGCCGCTCGCGTAGATCAAACACTGGCAGAGCGTGTTGGGCTAGGGGCTTGCGCTTACGTTTTCCCTTTATAGCGTCGCAGGAGTGAGTGAGATTGAGTTTTCCCACTTTCCAAGCCGTTGTTTGCCCTGCGGTCTAGTTCGGCGTTGACAGTGTATGAGCACTCCTGGGAGGGGCACTGAATACGCAGGCGCCCAGAGTCTGAGTTTTTTACCTTGTGAGATCGGGCCACGGTTGGCGCACGGGGCTAAGGATGCCATCAAGATGCTGTGCTTGTCAGGGAACGTGCTCCCTTTGATCAAACTCATTCCGACGACGCTCTCTTCACCTCTTCATCACTCTACACGTAGCGCTCCTAGGAAAAGGGGCTCATAAAAAGTGGTACGTAACAAAAATCCAAAATAAGAGTGGTACGTAACAAAAAAGTCTCTTATCCTTTATCATGCGTGCCCACGAATTCTACTGTATATGTATGACACTTGTTCAACGTGCAGGACCCTTGGTACTGTACTTCATTCTCGCCGTAGGCCTGGAGCAACGGAATGACTCGGTGAGCTCCGGATCACTGATCCAGTTCTAGTCCATCGTGATCAACGTGGCCACATTGGAAACACTGTACTACCAGAGATCCGACCGAAACACGCGTCGAGATTGCAATCGCTGTCGTCAGAAACCATTCATCTTACGCTGGTCTCGTAGAGCCCTCAAACAGACGAGCACAGTCTCAACATCTCCCCAATTGCAACCGCCCCATCCCCTCCTTCCCTTTTCTCCCTGACATGGAGAAAGCCTTCGTGCCCGTGCCCAACTTCACCTCCATTCACCCTCTGCGCCGCTTCGATTTCCAGTCGCCACGTTGCAGCCCCAGCCGCCAGTCTATCGTCGCATGTTCGCGCCGCCCTAGCCCGCCGCCACAGCCGGCAAATCCCTCGCTCGTCAAAGACACCCGACCAAACACAAATCAACACACCGCTGGTGAACAAGCAGGGGTCAACTCTCGGTCTACATATCGACCTCGCGCGAATGCGCCTCCGCGCAATTTGCAAACGCGGAATCAAACGTCAAGAAATCGAGACAACCACGGAGAGCGAGGGGAGGAGCCTTCGCGCTCTGCCCATCGCCCTCGACCGAATAGCCGGCCGGGTAATTTACAGGTACGAAATCAAACGCCGAGAAGCCAACCGAAGCGGAACGCGCCACCCCGGGATTTGACGCCTGACTCCCATCCTCCGCGAGAAGGAAGAGGGGCTCGGGCGCCTCCGCACGCCAGGAATCAAGCCCCAAGAGGACGTGCAAATCGAAATAAATCGGAGCATCCTCGGTCTAGTTCGCCTGAACTTCAAGGCACCGACCCTCGCACAACCTCGCAGACGACAACAACTCCATCCGCAAGGCGACAGCCAAACAAACCCCCATCTGGCGATCCCAAACCCAGGTTAGGCGATTCTCATAAAACAACACGCCGGACACCCCCACAAGGGAGAGTGCCCCCGACAAAGAAAAGAGGCAAGCATCCAAACCGTGCCAGATCGGAAGATCCGACCCCCCAGTCCCCCCGTCTACAAGACAACGTGCGCCGCGGTCGCGGAGGCCCAGCCGAGATGGTGCGAAAAGCGCTGCGCTCGCGACGCGACACCCTGATACTTGGCCCCGGCCTACCCGGCAAGCTCTCCGCCGCGCTCTCCGCGCGAGAGCTGTCCGAGCACGCGCTCGTCTTGGCGGCAACTCGGTCGGAGGCGCGCCGAGCTGCCGCCGAAATTTCGATGGACGCAAGGGGGAGCGCCGTGATCCTTGCGGCAGGGGGAGGTGGCGATTCATGGGGACACCCAGCTATGAACGCCAACTCAGCGCTCAAGTCCGTCGTTGTAGTTGCCACGCCAAGAGCACTTGCGGCCGACTTTTGTAACTCAGCTCATGGTCGGCCGTGGCTGGGGCGGGTCCGGTTTCTGGTTGTGTCGGATCCGGATAGGATTCTGGGTACGGGATGTGAGAAGGAGCTGAGAAAGGTATTTAAGGTACTGAGGATCAGTGATCATCGGAAGAATGTTGTGATTTCGCTTCGTAAACCGGAAGGTGAGACGGAGAAGATGGTTAATATGGTGCTGCGAGGTGCTGAAAAAGTAGACACTATTGAGTGGGGAGTAGCGTCTTCACCTGTGCAGCTATTGCAGAAGGAAGAGCTGGAAAGTACTGTTAAGACAAGTCATTGCAAGCAATTTTGCATATCGTCAAACGCGGGTGGACAGTGTGCAAGCTTAGCAGCCGCGCTTCAGGTACACAAAGAAAGAGAAGGGAAGCATAAGATGATTGTATTTTTCCCGACGGCACGACTTGCGCAATACTACGCTCTTGTGTTCAATGGCAGCGGTTTCGACATTCTCGACATCCACGGGAGGACCCCGCCGTCAAAGAAAAATTCTTTCCTGGATACGTTTTACGGCGAAGACAAAGCCGTGGTCTTCTCCTCTGATACCCTTGCCCGTGAGACATTGCTCCCTCCCATTGATACCGTCTTGCAAGTAGGTTTACCTGGTAGCACAGAACAGTATCTACGCCGGATTGCGCTAGTCGACAACTCTGGAGAAGGTCACTGTTCCAAGCTGTTCCTGTTGGAGGATGAGACTGCCGAGGCCATGAGAATGGTTGGAGATATGCTGGAAGTTGAAAATTTAGAGCATTCTGCAACTGGCGAGTGGGCAGACAAGGTGAAGAATGTGCAAGCAGAAGCTAAAATTAGGGCATATCAGTCTTGGCTAACATATTACAGAATTTCCAGGCGGAGGATTGGATGGGACCGCTTGGGACTAGTGAAACAAGCGAACGCTTGGGCTTTGGAAACGCTTGGAGAAATTCCAGCTCTTGACAAAAAGACTATCGACAAGTTGTTTCTCCGTGGCATTGAGGGACTGCGACAAGCAGCACCGCGAGATGCAGCTAATTAAGGCGACGTCGGCCGGTGTCTTGCCCCATCTAACTAGCACTTTGCCTCGAAAGTGGCGCCGAGCAGGCGCGATCTGCAGAGCTTCATATTGGCCTTCGACAGATTTTGATGAAGATTTGGATAGTGGCGTCCCAAGAGCACGCGCAGTGAACATGTCGTCCAACCGATGTTTTAAGACCCACCCACGACCAGCTCCCCGCTTTAACTATGAGTTTTGTTGTCACCACACCAAGAGCAAAGACAGCTTCGTATCCCGAACGATGCCAGGCCTTCTTTCGCGTCAAGATATTTTCGGATATGTAGTTAATCGTCATTGGAGAAAGAAAAAAAAACTCCTGCTGTGATGTGATACCCCTGTGCATCAAGGTGCGCGAAAGAACTGTAATAAGGCTCCAGGAGAAAGTCGATGCGATGACTTGATCCTTTGGATGCGCTGAACGTCTGTGCTGCGCAGTTCAACAGCCTGAAATTATCTCCAATGAAAGTACTGTAATTACGAAATTCATCTCAGACAGGTTAGTTTTGGATGGAAAGTTGGCCATCCCCAATCTCACGAACCACAGGTCGGTACGCATAAGGATTGTTCTTAATGAAATGTCGGTCCAAGGCTCGCAAGTGCATCACGCATCCGCACTCCACCGCCTTCTTTTCTCCATCTCGTCACTTCCATTGACTCAGCTAGGGAAGACTGAAAGGAGAACGACTATTGCAATAGCGAGGTGGTATGGAATCTTCCGAAACGCTTCCAGTCGACTTCCTCAACAGATATGGGTTGTGGGCGGTCATAACCGGCGCTTCCTCCGGGATTGGTGCCGAGTTTGCGCAACAGCTCGCTGCCGCCGGACTCTCCCTCATCCTGGTGGCTCGACGAGTGGACCGTTTAGAAGCGACAGCACGGACGCTAATGGAGCAGTACCCTATCCAGGTGAAATCTATTCAGGCGGATCTATCGACAGAGGCGGGAGTGAGGTCTGTGATTTGTGAGACGGAAGATCTGCATGTAGGGCTTCTGGTGAACAATGCAGGGGTGGCGATGAACGGGTCATTTTTCCGCACCACGGAGGAACGAAATTTGGCGGTGACGGCGGTTAACGTGACTGCAGTGACGCTTCTTACGCACGCATTTGGTCTGAAAATGGGACGGAACAAAAGAGGCGGGATGATATTCGTGAGCTCAGTAGTCGCCGGTGGCGTGCCATGGTCTGCAACGTATTCCAGCTCGAAGACATACGTGAGTACATTCGCGTCCGTTATCCGGTATGAGTTGCAGCCGAGGGGGGTAGACGTGCTATGTTTGGAGCCTGGACGGGTAGATACGGAGATGGTTGAAGATGCGATGGTCGACTTGGACATGGATAAGCTGGGGATTCCTGGGATGACTGCGAAGGTATGCGTCCGGGAAACTTTACAAGGCCTTTACAACGGAAAGGAAAGAATTACGCCAGGCTTGTGGAACAAGGCTACGGTGGGTGTGCTGCGTTTTTTACCGCGGTGGCTGCTTTGGTTTCTGATTAACGTGGCGTCGAGGCTAGCAGCGAAGACAAATTATTTGGAGTTTCCGGATGAATAGGGAAGCCACGCGAAGTGCACTACTGTAGGATAGAGAATTCTACACTGTTGTGTGGGAGCTCAGTAACATTTGTCCATGTAAAGAGGAAAGTATATACTGTACAGGGGGGGGGTCGCGATATAGTGCCACTCTGTGTCAGTGGGCCGAAAACGGCACTATATCGAACCAGGCACTGTAAGATAATGAGATTTACGGCTTTTTTGCAGAGCCACTTCCTTGCATCACTGCTCAGAAAGACCGCTCGCAGGACGCCATCACTCATACTTAGCATCTTCACTACAGACTCAAGTTTAATCAAGCATTTCTGTTATTAAATGAGTAGCTGCCGAGCCGTCGCAATAACTTCCTCATTATTCGCAGCCATAAATGCGAGCCTACACTTTTGCAGATGTCCAATAGCATCATCGACCCTGCCTTTTTCCGCCAGTCTCTATTCTAGTAAGCAGTGCTTACTAAGCAACTACATAAGATCTTTCCGCAGCGGCAGCGGCTCTCGGGCAGTACGTCCATCCAACTGCCTTGCCTCTCTGGAGACCCTTCGTTTTTGGCTCAAAATTCGTGCCACCCGCAGAAGGGTAGCACTATATCAGAGCTGGCACTAACAAAGATCGCACTATATCGCGACCCCCCCCCCCCCCTCCCTGTATTGCAGTTCAAGTGGTCAAACGCAAGCCTCTCCAACATACAGTATGTACGGTACCTAAACACTGGCGCCCTTCCACCTCCTTCGTGGAATGCTTGTACAGAGTAAAGTCTCGATAAGCTGCGTACCTGATGAACTGCCTCGGTACAGTGAACCGAAGGACTATGAGGGCGGCGCCACCCCGCTTTTTGGCCCAGAATCGACGTTTTCGTATTTCTAAGGTGAACCAGACTCTATAGAATGAACTACGCGATACCATGAACATAAAAAACATGAAAACCCTAGAGTTCACTTTATCGAGGCCGAAATGCGCACTAGAGACGAACCATCAACGACTACAGAAGCTATCCATACGACTTTGCCTCAGATTCGAACGCTGAAGCCTCCTTACGCGGCTTTGTTCCTCATACAGAAGTGACTTGAGGCTCGACGGCAGCCCCGATTGAACTAGATTCGCGTCCGTCAAAATACAACTGAGTTCGTTAGATAGAGCTTCTAATGCTCCGCGATACCGAGCAAGCGACGGTTTGCGTCCTGTCCGGTCTTTCGCTGGCACAGTAGAGCGATCGTCCTCACTATCTGAATCACCTTTAAATTGATCTTGCTCAATGCCAGTAAATGCCCCAAAATCCCCTAATCCAAGATCAATGGCTTGACCGAAAGCTGACACTTCTGATATAGACTCTGGATGTGGCAGAATTAAAAGAAAAGGAAGGCTGGATCACAATATGAAGTGGTCCAGATATGGAATTGCGCCCCTCCACGTTGCCCGTCGATGGACAGACTCAAGGAAAGTGACGTTGTGTTCCTTACTGTACCCGTAAAACGGGTACACGTGTACACGAGCAGTTCCGCCGCCGTGAACTGCCTCGGTAAGGTGAACTCTATGGGCTGCTCGGAAGCGCCACATTTCGGTTCACGATATCGAGACTTTACTCTGTACCCTTAGATGCAGAACAGTTACAGCAGAGCACCATTGATGAGTTTTTGAAATAAATATGAGACATTGCAAACGATTGGCCAGGAACGCAGGGTATGATACATTTCTTTGTCTGCGACCCAACAAGGGGTTTTGTTGTTATTGAGAATTGTATTACAATCACGGTGCATATCGCGTATGATAAAAAACTTTATTTACAACCAGGGAGAGAACCCGGACAAAGAAGCGGTTGTCGGCACTGTGGGCTGCGCGACAGAGTCTGGAATTGCATCCAGATGAAAACGTTGTGGCCGTGGAAACGAATGCGTTGAAACCTCCTGTGCATACCCAAGTACACCACTAGACTACCAAGGGTAGTCCTATCAGTTGCGAAGCACCTCGGCTGCTAATATTCATACTTTTGGCCCCTGCCAAAGTACAGTAGTTGCAGTTTGGGATAAATCCATTGTTGTGTGGCCAAATATACTAAAAAGACCCATGCTATCTTTTTGACTGCGGTGGATGTCACAACTCTTACCAGAGTCTATCAATACCGTAATCCCTAAGGTTGTGCCACCTGTCCCTAGTGGGTGGCACTACCTCACGTAGACAATTCAACTACCTACAATTTGAGGATCCTCCTAAAGGATCCTCATTACCTAAACGGGCAAACGCCTAATTAAGCCTGATAGAGGCACATTTATAGGTAGCACCCCACTAAAAGGGGGGGTGAGTACACCTTTAGTCCACTCGACTTGGCGTCGAGTGGGAGTATAAAGGTTGAGGACGAAGACGGTGAACGTCTTCGTCCCCACACACACAACAACTTACCCCAACAAACCCAACCGTACCACCCGCAGCAAACTAAAAGGCCCGTCCTCCTGCCTTGCACCTCGCGCCACACCGGCCTGTGCCCCCCCGCGCACAGAGCCCCAGTGGCCCGCGCCCCCCGTGGACACGTTTCAGATCACCCGCCCGCTCCCCGGGCAAGTTCCGACACTTATAAGTTTACGGACAAAGCCCCCTGGAAATTCCAAGAAACATTTGGGTTCCTTACACACTACCAATTTATTACTGTCTAATAATTGCTAGTGTGTAATACCACACACGTACACACGTGTGACCAATTTATTGGTAATTTTTATGGCACGGCTCAAACGAGCGGCCAACGATCCAGCTGTACTACGAGAAACTGCTGCCAAGAGGCGACGCATTGCTGTTGCAGTCGCCGATCGCGACTCCGCCGCCGCTGATCGCGACTCCGCTGCTGTTGATCGCGACTCCGCCGCCGATCGGGACTCTGCCGCCGGCGATCGCGACTCAGCCGCCGGCGATCGCGACTCCGCCGCCCCCGATCTAGATTCCGCCACCGCCGCCGCCGACCGGAACTCCCGCCCAACGACACCTGTCACCTCGACATTCGCCACTGACTCAGACTACAGTGAGTTTCAGGCGCCGCCCCTTGTGGAGATAGAGGCAGACGGCTACCGATTGGACGAAACAACCGCCGCCTGTTCCGCCTCCTCGGCCTCGTCGACCATCGATTTAATCGACGAGGACGAACCGTCGCCACTATCCGAATTCCGCGCACGCCACATCGCGCGTGTGGCAGAACAGCGCGCACGTCGCCGACGCAACCCGCCTCCCCGCAATAGAACGGTGTACACTTGTTGCCCGTGCGCGCGCTCTTTCACCTCGCGGCGACAACTGTCCTTCCACGAGGCGAGTGGCCGACACGCGCGTGCACAAATCCGCCTCCAGGATCTCGCGGCGCGCCTACACTGTCAGCTCTGTGATCTCCCGTTTGCCGACAGACACAATTTCGAATCACACAAGCGCTCCCGGATCCACTTTAAGAACGCGCGCCGTCAGCGAGAGGCCCGCCTCAATTAATATTTAAATTTTACGCGCGCAAATATAAATTTTGACTAAATCTCAACGTCAGGAATTAAATTCCTAAAAACTTTGAAAAAGACACTTGTCAACATCGATTTGAAGAGTACACAACACAAACGACACGGGAACACAACCTACACCTTCATAACCGTGTACACGTTTGCACACAGGTACAGGTGTACCACCAATACACGTGTACTGTACTGTACTTCTTCAAGTTAATTTTGCCCTATATACGCATGTATAGCTATATACACTTGTCAAGCGTAGGACACGTATCTAGGAACACACAACTGGAGACGTATCTAAGGATACACAGTTGGACACGTATCCGAGGTGACATATTTGGACACAACAGGTCTGTGTATTCTTCCACATTACTACCTTCAGTATATTAGAAAATTAGCGTTACCCATTTACGCTACTATGGTAACGTTAGAAGTAATAAGGGCAACCCTTGACGGCTACCGCCCGTCTTCCTCGACGCAAGCCGACATCAAAGCCGCTTTAGCGACTGTCATTTCCCAAGACCCTCAACTTTCAAATGAAGAATGCGTCAACACCCTCCGTGACGACTGTAGTATAATGACCGGCGCGAGCGCGCGGAGGTCATCGGACGGCCGTATACGGTATACACGTGGGCGGCTGTGCCCACGTGTAGCGAGCGCGCGCGCATGCCGAGCGGTCGTAATCTGGCGTACGTGTACGTTAGCACACGTGTCGTCCGTGCGGTAGTCTGTAAGCAACACGCGTGTACAGTGGTGCACACGTGTAGTAGCAGCGGCCGTGCGGTAGTAGCAATTATGGCGCTAGTTTTTTAATTGTGTACAGTACCCGGCACGCACTAGGCGGCAGGTACTGTACTACTGTACTGGGACAGGTGTCCGAGGCGTCCCCCTGCGGGGTTAAGACCTGGCACCCGTCCCCACCAGTAAACGGGGGCAAGCTCGCCCCCGTCCCTTTTGCGCCTACGTACGTCCGTTTCGGTTGTCCGCCGCGCGCGCTGGCTTCTAACCCGTTACCGGTCGCTCCCGTTTACGCACCACGGGGCGACTGCGCGTAACCGGCCAGTGAGCCACTCCCTTTTCGCGAGCTCGTCCGATCGGTTCAATTGGCGCGTCGCGTCCGCGCCGCGTGCTCCCTCGCTAAAGCCTCCGCCTCTCACCCAACCCAGGGCGGAGAGGAGTTATCCCACATTTGGTACTCTTGTGGAGGGGATAACTCTCGAGGTTGAGCCGCACGCGTGGTCGCTCGATCGCGCGCAGAACCGTACGGACGGAAAAGGTTGAGAAATCACCGCGTCGATCGCGAAGCGTATTCGACGATGAACCGACCGGAAGAAGGGGGAGACTCCGCCTCCGGGCGTCTGAGCACCCGCAGTGGCAGTGGCGCACCGCGCCCCCGGGTGGAGAACCCGGAAGCCCTGCTGCGACCGCCACCGCGACCGGGCCGCACGCGAGCGTCCGCATCGGATGTTACGCCGGCCGTGTCGGCAGGCACCGAGAATCGCGTCCAATGGATGGTCGACGCGATTCAGCCGCGCATCCAGGCCTGGGTCGAGGAGTTCCTCGCTACGGAACTCCCCCAGGTAGCGCGCGTATGCCTCGACCGAACGGTGCCCGCGCTCGTGGACGCGCACGTACGC